ACTGTGTCCTTTGGCATTCATGCTAAAATTCGACACTCTCCGCACCGGACTTAACAAAGACCCCGGCTTTAACTCACTGGCATTCACCTTCCTTCCCCCCTCCCCCCTAAATCCCCCTTCGGTTCTGAAATGTGATTTGTCCTTTTCATGTGTGTTCATTTTTTTAAATTGTATCCTTTGGTGTATATGGCTGTGACTATTTTCTTCCACTATTTGATCTGAGGAAGTGGGTCTGGCCCACGAAAGCTCATCATCTAATAAGCCATCTTGTTAGTCTTTAAAGTGCTACAAAATCCTGTTTTTTGTTTCATCATATACAAAAAAAAACACACAAAAAAACCAAGTCTTGGAGCACTTTAAAGACTAACAAGGTGGTTCATTAGGTGATGAACTTTCCTGGGGCAGACCCACTTCAGATCATATTCTGAAAGTGGATTGGCATGACCATTATATAACAAAAGGGATACAATGAAGGAGTAAAATTATACAGTAACAAATCAACTAAAGAAGGTGGGGGCTAGGGGACAAGGAAGAGACAAGAAAGGAGAAAATGTCTTATTGTCAGTCAATTAAGTGGCTAATCTGGAGTTACTACGAATATCAACAGGTGGGGAGGCTGTCTTTGTAATGTCTAAGGTAATTAACAACACAGCTACCTCTCTGTTACTTGTCATCATATACAAATCACTCAAAAGTTTGACTGCACAAGCGATCATTCAAAAATCCAGCACCAACAATTAAGGCTGCTACAAGCTAAGAAAAAGGAAGTTAGACATTCTAAACAAATCAAGGTAGTATGGAAGGGACATTTACATATTCAAATTGCAGTTCAACTGCAGAAGAGTTGGACAGCAACATTCTCCTGTCTGCCTTTGAGATTTAATCTCACTCAGCCAATGGCTACATTACCCAAGGCCAAAGAGGTATCCAATACAATGCAATGGTTGGAACTATGGTACAGCCAAGGCTACCATTGTCATGGGTGTGTGCTCATGGTCACAAGTGTTGGGGAGGGGGAGCAATGCAATAGATGGAGGGTAATTGGGCTGGCTCTCACGCTGTAAGAGGGGACTGTGACCATTTATAACACATTTTAAGGGAAGTCCTGAAGAGGTGTCCTGGCAGCGAGAGACACTCCAAAGCTGGAGAGAATGACGAAACTGAATGTTGTTCAAGATCCATTCCCAACCTTGACTCCTGGGGGACCGGAGTACTTGAAGCTGTTCCTTGGATAGTGATAAGCATCCACGGCAGGGGGACAGACAATGTCCAGCTGTGACTGCAGGACCACAAGAAGGGCCAGAGGGCCAAAAAAGCTCAGACCTCCGGAGCGCCTACCGTAACGACGGCCAGATTGTCAGAAGCGCTCGGCACCTGAGTGGCGCAGATACAAAAGGCAAAACGGACCATTCTTCAGGCTTTGTACTGTCACCTGTCACTGTAGCCTGTGACCTGCCACAAGGAAATTCCCTTCGGAGTGCCATATTTCATTGCCATGGTGCTCTTGGGAGGCCAATGGTCATGTCTTATCAGAACAAGTTTTAGTTAAGACAAACTCGTTAGCGGAAGATACACAATTTAAATGGACACGGAGCAGCTCATTTTACAGAGACAGGGCAGAAGGGGTTAAAAGGTATTCTTTAAAACCAGCCAACTTTGCTGCCTCTTAGTGCAACAGGCAGTTTATTTCCTTCATTATTCTAGCAATCTGGGTGAAGACTTGCAGCGCCAGTGAAGAGAAAACTTCGGTTACTTGTTACTGCAGGCATCGGAACAATAGAAACAGCTCAAGTAACGCTTGGGACTGAACGCTTCTGGGGGCTGGTAACAGGGTCAGATGCCTTTTGCCCTGGCTCGCTGGGTGACCAGCAGTAATTACCATCAGGCAGCAGTCTCAGCCTCTGCTCATAGTGGATCAGCATCACTCACCTGTCACTCTTACGGGCAGTCTCACCCAAGAGGCCTGCAACTGACTAGGAACAGAATATTGGCAAACTGGGGAAATTTGCACCACAGCTGCAAGTATTCTTCCTTTGAGACCCATCAACAGAAATCTCTGCCTGTGGTAATTTCTATGGTTGCACTGACAACACCTGCAAAAAGCATTTCAATTGAACCAGCAAAGGCAATGGGAGACCTCCTTTGCAGAAGGAACCCTGAGAGATTGCAGGTTGACTCTGGGGGTGTTAAGACTAGAATAATATCTGTCAGCTAAGGGCCAACTCAATCAGTGCTAGATCTATTG